AGGTACTTTAAACTGTATAAATAATACCAAATTTAATTGATCTGCAATAGCCAATCATAGGAAAGTCTGCCTATGATCTTTTGGTAGGTTAAAGATTTACGTTGGTGGGAGAGCCAGAATTTTTGTAAATCTCTGTATCCGTGTTTTTAGAGTATTTAGAGTACTTTAAAGAAAGGAAGCCGAACGAGTGGAAAGAGCTCAATTTTCTGATATGGATGAACGAGAAGGGAGAATCCCTGTTTCCGACAAACATAAAGTCTCAAGATCGACAGGAACGATGGCACAAATATTTCAAGGAACTTCTCAACTATGTGATTTCTCGGTGTAGAAGTGTGGATTCTGAAGACTACGATTTAAACACTTTTGCGACAAACGCTTTGAATTCGGAGATTCGTCTTCAGCAACGCTTGGTGAGTGATTTTTCTTTGCTAGAGTGAGTAGCATGAAGGCTGCAACCGAACAGGCTTTGTAGAAGTTCGGGCTTTAGGACATCTCCTTGCTGGAGACATGGCTGGATAGCCGTCCTGGGCATGCAGCTGAGGTCATAACCGAACAGGCTTTGTAGAAGTTTGGGCTTTAGGACATCTCTTTGTTGGAGACATGGCTGGATAGCCGTCCTGAGCATATGGTTGTTTGCACATTTAGAATGATGGCTTCATATTTAATTGTTGTCGTTTTTGAGCTGGATCCATTTCAGTCTTATTTATTTTATTTTATTGAAAGAAAAAGATTCCAAATGATGTTTGCGAGTGGTGGTTACTTGTAACAATGCAGAAAGAGCATCAATCTCTCAAAAATCAGGAAGCATTAATCATAGCAAAAGACTCCTTTAGGCAGGTGAGTTGTCATGTGATATGGAGTTGAACAGGGAATATTGTAGAATCTACTCAAATCAGAACAATTACTAAACAGGTTGAGTGGATGGCGGCTCGTAACAACGACATCCGAGATAGATTTTGGAAAAAAGGTCGATCTGAGGTGACAAGTAGTGATGAGTAAGTAATTTGCTTTGGCATTCAATTGTATCAAATCGGTTTCTATAATTAATCTTTTTATACAGTTACAAATCGCAAGAAGAAATGGAACAAGTCTCGCCTTCGCCAACCCCGTCCAAGCCCGTCACTCCGATTAAGCGTACACGACTCGAACAGTGGGAAGAGAGTGATGACGTGATTGAAGGAGAGGAGACCCCGGGTGAAGTGCGTGACGGAACCTTTTGAAAGAAGCTGTTGGGACATTTATTAATTAACTTTTCATCATTCCAAACTAATAGGAAAAGGATCTGACTTCAAAGCATCCAAAGCGACGTAGGCCACATGTAAGCAAAATTGTCAGTTCTATTTAAAATATTTTTATTGACATAGCTTGCCGTTTAGTCTGTTTCAGCTACTATCCAAAAGGCCCCTTTGCTGAGCCTTGTGCCATCAGACGACGACGACGAAGATGAAGTTGAGAACCGTAAAGACGAAGGCAATCTCCAAGAGATCGACCATGAAGATGAAGAAGATGCACCTTTGCCGGACGAGGCTACCCTCTTATTTGGTCAAGCTGAGAATAAATGGGTTCTCCCATCTGGCAAAAACGTTGGAGAAATCTTCGTGGAAAAGATTGGCAACAATTCTGAAGCATTCAAGTACAAAAAACGGCCAACAGCAATTGAAAAGGCCACTTTACGTTATGGAGCATCGAATATTATCGATTTGTCGGCTCACATGAAAGGATGGTTTACTATAGAAGATAAAAAGTTCATGACCAAAAAACACGAGGCTATTCTCCGTGTTCCAGATCTTCCGGAAGACGTCAATACGTTCATCTCAACAGTAGAAGACGTGAGTGGATTTTTTGTTGCCGGTTTCTCGTTCATTCTATTATTACATGTTTATTGTCTTTTGTACAGATGGTTCGCAGGAGAGAAGTGAAGAAAGCACACGGCATGTGCTTGAAAAAGATTGAAGAATCCGACGAAAAAAGCTGTATGTATAAAGTCGGCAAAATTTACAGCGATTTGTGAGCATTACTTAATTTGTTGGGAAAATTGTCGTTTTGGTTTCATGATTCTAACTCTTGTTTATATGTAGCATTTTTAAAAGCAAGAATACGGACAATATTCTGAGCTGTGGAGGCCATAACGAATCCACAGAAATAGATGCCATATTGAAGGCATGTTGGTATATCATTGAGGCGCTGATGGAAGGTTCCCAAATACATTCAAAATGGTTGGTTATCAACTATTGCCTATTCAGACTGACTATATTACGACGCTTACTGATTATACATATGCGTTTCCAAGGGGTGAGTCGTTTTGCCCGCCGAGCAGAAGTGATGCTTACAGCAAAGGCCGCCGATGTGACGTTCGGTTCTTGACAAGGTCGGGAAAAGACCTAGGAGAATGGGAATTTGCAGCGCGTGCTACAGCCGCTAAGGTCATTGGTGACCGTTGTCGTTCGGCTCGAATAAATCAATCCATCTTGAACAACTTGTTGGGTTTTAACTGGATGGACGAGCAGATCGATGGTGTTAACGTACCGTTCCTTCAAATCGCTGGTACAAGTGGTCAAATGCTTCTGATAGACCTAACACAACAGTACTATGTCGTATTCCCAGGGGGCAGATTTGAGCTGCCAACGAATCTTCAGCAAATCGGGAGGCTTAAAGGATCTATCCAGGTTTTGAAATATTGTATGGTAAGATGACTCCCTCTAATCAGAAAGTTTCTTTATCTCCTAAATGTGTTGTGGTAATTATATAGGACATGTATGGAGAAAGAGACAGAGCGATCGAAAGCTTACAGATTTATTACCATCCGTTCGATGAAATATTTGGCGTCGACGATGTCGTACCTACTCATCGCAAATTCCAACACATCCGCAAGCCATGGTGGACACAGAAAACCCAGCTGGAATGCAGAGCCAACCAAACTTTAGAATAAAGCAGGTGAGACGTGTTGAAGTATTACATTATTTTTGTCTAATTCTTTCTGTTTGGAAAGTTTGGGTTCATAGGTAGCGGCATTGATACAAATGCAATGTCTGTGCACTATGCTTGAGCCTGCTATATGTTAACGATAAATAAGAGTTAAGAATTATTTTGTCAGGTTAATTATGAAAAATTTAATGTATATCCGATGTTTTTAGTATCTTGGTCATAATATGAAGTTAATAAATAAAATGAATCCCTAAATTGGTTTTTTTAATTAAAACATTTCAACTGAGCAACAGACTATACAATTCAAATTCACTTAAAAGTATTTTTTTATTTTATTTTAAACTTGGCCATGCCATTCTTTATTGAATATTTATAATTTTCAATTCAAATTCACTTAAAAGTATTTTTTTTTTACTTTATTATTTTTTTTTGATAAACTTGGCCATGCCATTCTTTATTGAATATTTATACTTACTAAATAATGACGCAACATCGTGCATATTACCGCAATTCCGCAGCAGGCTGCACAGGTGACGGTGGCGACGCTACATAAAATAAAAAGGCATTAGGATTACCCCCCTGCATATACATAAATCCTCTATTTCTCTATTTTTCTTTTTTTCCTTGGCTCTTGAAAGAGTTTGGCCAATGTCTGCTTAGGAGGCTTTTCTATCCTTTTCTCCTGGTAAACCTCATAAATTATCTGTTCTTGATCCAGATATTTCTTGATAGTCTGCGGTGCTTTTTTTAGTTTGAAGATATAAGGAGCAATCTTTTCACCTTGCTTTTGCTTTATAAGAGGGCGTAAAGTGTTGTAGTTTTGGGCTCCATAGTAGATTTAATATAGATAAGTTTCATATATTTCAATATTATACACACGATTACCCTATGTATACCAGTCGGACCTCTATGTAAAACAATATCAGTATATCGGATTATCAGAATTTAATAAAATTTGATAGTTTATGGTATAACAATTGAAATTTATTATATATTAGCATAACCGATTAGTAGTACATATTTTTAAATAAAACTATCTAGTTTGCTTTGTTATTAATGGGATAATGGTGTCTTAATATCTTTTAGATATTTAATTCATCTGGATTAATAGAAGTATCTGATGAATATTCAAAAAGTGAAACAAGTTCATCCAAGTAACCCAAGGCTTCTTTAGTTGAAATCATTTTAAATTCTTCATTTGAATCTATTTTTGATTCAGTTACTTCAGTGTTTTTAGATTTTAACATAGATACAATTTCTTTATCAGTTAACCCTTCACTACTTTTTAAATTATCATCAATATGAAGAAAATTTGCTATATCTATAGAATCATCAAATAGAATAGCTCTTGTATTTCCATTTCATTTTGAATTACTTGATTATCATAATCCTTAATTTCATTATCCATTTTGTTTTGTAAAAGAATTCCTGTATGTTTTTAACAATTAAAAATTGTTTGCTGACTTACAAGCATTTTTACTAAAATTAATAGCATTATAAATATTTAGTAAAACAACTTTTTTTCTCAATTTTTGTGAAATTTTATGTTTTAATTCTAATTTTAACAAGTAATTTTTGGTATTATACCTGAATTATTAAAGAATTGCATTCTTAATATATAAAGTTTACTGTTTTTAAATTAAACACTGATCAAAATCAAAAAAATCAGACATGCGAAAAATCAGCCTAAAATCGACCTAAAATAGGCAAATTATCAAAAAATCAGCCTAGTCGATTGGCATACACTAAAAATTGGCTAAAATTTGACTTATCTTATTTATAGCCGATTGGCATACTTATTGCTGATTGGCATATGTCAAAAATCGGCTAAAATTCAACCTATCTTATTTATAGCTGATTGATGTCTGATTTACATCTGATTAATATACATCAAAAATAGATTAAAATATTTTAAAATAAAATAAAATTTGGAAGGAAATATAACTGATATTTAGGATTAACAGCCAAATAATGTTAAAAACATTCAATTTATTTTTACAAATGGTATTTTCTATTAATTGGATTAACAGCAAATATTCCTTTGCATTTTGCTAGACTAAAATTTGATAATTAATCAGTATAAATCGACCTAAATATGATGAACTGATATTATACAATCATGACTTTTTGGATAAAATTCAGTATTTTATAATTTGAATTTACATGTTTCTTCTTCGCTAAAATAATACTGCATATCTGAAGAACTTGAAGATTTATATTAATGAATATATGCTAAAAAATATTCAGCCTGTTCAGATGGCAAATCGGCCTTATGTATAAAATTATATTGGACTTGATTAGAATAACAATTGACTATACTATCATTTATAATAAATTTGGTCAAAATGTATGAATTTTTTACATATCGCAAAGACATTAACGATCTAAATTTTAGAACCAATTCAGCATCTTTTGAATTGATTCATTTTAACCTAAATCATTATACCATCTTCTGAATCCTTATCGAATGGCTTTCTAAAATCAAACGTGATATAAATCACATTGTAGTATTCAACTATCAAATCAAGCATTTCGCTTGAAATAATTATATTATCAGAAGATGGTTTAAGGAATTTGCCAGAAAATGGTTCACTACCAATAACATTTGATTCCTTAATATTTCATAAATTCATCCAAAATCAATGGATTTTGTCAGAAGAAAATTCGTCTGTATCTAAAAAAAAACTAATTAAAGGCTGATTGTCCAACAATTCAAGTCCTTTTACCTCAATATCACTAGAATTTGTAATACTGTTAATTTGAATATTAAACATCAATCAACGCATTAGCTCAAGTTTGATTTTTCTATTACTATTCAGTAAAGAACCTAAAAATCGTTCACAAATTAGTAAGCTGATTTATTCAAGAAATTCTTAAAAAAAATACCTAATATTCCATTTATGCGTTTAAAAGAAAAACATCAAAATGCATATAATAAGCCATAGTCTATTAAACAATCGTACAAATAAAGAGAAAGGTGAAGATTTGGCGTAATTTTGTTGTGTCTGTGATTATTTTCAATCAACTTCACTATCTCAATTAGTCTTTGATATGCTTTACATAATAGATCTGATTCTATAATTTGACTTATTAAAATTGTATAAATCCTTATAAAATGTGTAAGAATCTTTCTATCTACAATCAAAAAATGTTTCTAAAGTGAAACAGTGGCATATACAGTGAAAAATATTCATCACTTATCGGCCGTAAAATTAGAAAATCCTTCTCCTTTATGAATTTTACCTAGAATTTGACCCAGATCAGAAGAAATCTGAAACTTGTTCATTTTTTTCTGAATTTTATTCAGGGAATTTGATGTTAAAATTTTTTTATCAATTCAAATTCATTTTACTATCCATTGTGTAATGCCTAAAAATAGGCAATGCATTAGATTGATTGTAATATATTTTATAGGATCAAAAAAAGATAAATGTAATAATTCAGACTATTTTACGCCACTTTGCTTTACAAATTATTTTTGTAAGGTATCTGAATTACAGTATCTTCATTCTAATATATTTCGACGATGCTTAATTAGATCTCACATAATGAACCAATCATCGATATTATCTATTCTAGTAAAATTATGCTAATGATTTTCATAATTTGCCTTCTTTTCGCATCTATGATATGATACTAAGGCCAAAATATGTTCATATTTTTCTAGCGGCTAGTATATTACATGAAACAAGAATTAAAGCTGCATAAATATTTTTTCTTTCAGGATGTACATATATATTTTATCTATTGTAAATCTATTCTAAAGTGATTCCAATTCATTTACAATCAGCATTAAATAGTGATTTATTTTATGTAAACTAACTTTGCTTAGTCTAGATAAAAGATCAAGAGTCAGTAAATTTTTACGTTTAAATCAGATATCATGAGGTAAATTGTATATAGCGGTATATATTATTCTGATACTATAAATAGTACTATCATGTGGCTGGAACTAGTCAAGATTTAGCATTAATCTAAGATGAGAATCAGTTTCTTCATTTCAAAAAAATTTGCCAAATCTTCTTGTGAAGATTCTTTTAATATTTGCCACACTTTACCATAATATATATCAGTCATAATATTATCAAAATGCTGATGATTTGTCCATTGTCTCAGGCTAGTTTTAAAATTAGGCTGATGATACATAGAAGTGAGTTATTGTTGAATTCCAGAAAATAGAAAGATTAAATTAGGTCAAATTAAAATTTGATTTGTCAATATGATTTTTTGAGATAATGGAATATTGCAAATCGTATTTTGTGAATTGAAGAATTGAAAAATTCTACATACTAACATTTCATTATAATCAGCATATTATTCTGTTGAAAATTCACCACTTTCTGCTTTTGATACAGCTTATGACATTTGAAATAAGGAACAAAATAGTGAAATTGATCATTTAATCTAAGTGTTTTTTTCATTAAGTATATTGAATTTGGAAAATTTCTAAATTCATCACCTCCAATTTCATAAATTTTATTAATGCCTCAGTTGTAGACTCTGTAATGTTGAATCTTATCTAAAATGATATGATCTAAAATAAAATCCACAAAAATCAGTTATTAATTGATTTTATATTTAGTGGATTTTGAAATGATTCATAATCCAGTAGTACATAATCTTCAAATGTTTTAAAATCATTCTCTACAGAAATATTATCATCTTCAAATTCATCTGTAATATAATCTTTTTCAGTGATAAATTCTAAAGATTCTGAAGGCTGATCAGCTTCTGTTTCAGAATTATTAGAAGGATTTATGTCAGATTTCGAATGATTTGTGTATTTCTTACATGTCTTTGAGGTAAAAAAGTAGAATCAAAATTTTCTTAATATTCATCATCAGATTCATGTTCGACAATTTCTATAATTTGTCTAATCAAAGTTAATATTAACGATTCTCCCATTTCGTCTTGTATTCTGAATTGATAAATATATTTGAAATAGAACTTTGTGAATCTTGATATCTAACTCTAGTATTATAAGAGGTTGATGACATAAAAGTAAATATATTTACTTCATCAGTTAAATCACCAATTGACCTACTTATTCTTCTACAAAAAGGTATATTTGAAGATTAAAAAGTAGAAATATCTTCTTTATCAATTAATCTAAGAATCGATCTATTTCTTTTATGAGAAGATGTATTAAAAGATTGACTTGATGAATTATCATCATCATCACCACAAAATTTAGAAATTAACCTTTTTCGGCTTATTTTTATTTTATAATTAAAAAATTAAGAGGAAAATAAAAGTTCAAAATGGAGTTATTTTTGAGGACGATTTTAATTGAATTTTATATTTTTTTAAAAAAATGCAGTAGTTTTGCAAATATTTATATTATTATTATACTAAACTATTGTTTTCTTTTTTTAGTAAATGTAAACAATTAAACAAATTTTCTTTTTAAAATAATTGTAATTTTTATAATTATTTTTGTTAAGTTCGTTTTGATTTAATGTACTGATAAATTGTTTCCGATTTATTTAAGTCTCATTTAATGCATAATTAAAGTATTAATTGCATTGATAAATTATTTCTGATTTACTTTAAGTATTATATTGATTTAATATATTATTTGATATAACTATTTGAGTTTATTTTTGGCATATATATGAAAATTTATATAAATAAACCTGATTTTTCCACTTCTTAAAAAATAATTTCAACTCAAACTTTATCTTTTTAAAATTAAATTTTATCTTTACAATTAAATTATTTCTATTACAATTTCTTTTTTCATAAAATGCTACTAAAACATGAACCAAAAAAATTATCACAAGAATAAAAAGAATATAAGTTGAATTTTATTAATCAACCAGCCAATTTTTCAAATAATAAACTGATTATTTTAATTTTATAATAGAATTTCAATCAATGGTAATATTAACAAAACACCTTTAACGAAAAAAATCAGCTAATGAAGAGCTAAAACGTAAGTTGAATTTTATCAATCAACTAACCAATTTTTCAAATGATAAACTAATTTTTTTGCTTTTTTACTATAGAACTTCAGTCATCAGTAATATCACCAAAATGCTCTCAACAAAAAAAATTGACTGATGAAAAGCCAGAACATAAGTTAAATTTTATCAATTAACTAATCAATTTTTTAAATAATAACTGATTTTTTTAATTTTTATAATAGAATCTCAATCAATAAAAATACTAACAAAATGTAAAAACGATATGAGAAAATTCAGCTCCCATCAAAATTTTGATAATAACTAATAGCAAGTACTTCAGCTGCGGCTAAATTTAAGATTCTTGATGATTCAGACAATTTAGAATCAGATATATTATTTTTGATTTATTTTCATTCATTATTTTATAATTAATAATATATTTTCTTTATCCCTACATAAAGAATCAAATATTAAAAGAAAAACTTGTCAAATTTACTGAGAGAATCAAGAAATTGGTGTAATAAAATTCTGATCTCTTGAGGGAAAACTGATTTCTTGCTGAAATAAATGAAAAATTCAGCAAAAAAAATGAAGATTTATAAGAGAGGTAAAAATTCGTATACTAATATCCTATATTTACAATAACTAATTTTTCTTTTTTAATATTTAAGATTTGACCAATTTGAGAGATTACAGCTGCCTAAATCATTAAGGTAGTCTAATATCAATCTTCCTGCAAAATGAAGAAAAATCAAAAAATCATCATCAAAATCAAAGAGAAAAAACCAGTGCATTATACAGTTTATATTACAATAAACTATCTAATAAATTTATCAATTTAAAAATAAAATAAAATATCTTTTAGTGCCTTTATTTAAAATATTTCAATATAGTTTAATAGATATTGACTGATACTATAAAATGACGTTAAAATTACTCTGATCAGAAATCTAGATTAAAAGTTATTAACTGATTAAATTAAGGTATTTTCATAATCAGAAATGGATTTGAAACATATAATTCTGGCTGAAATTATTCTTAATGTTAGTCACTTACTTAAATAGTTTAGATTATATACATATATTGATCAACTGATCTATTTTTTTCACTAATGAGGCATCCAAAATGACAAATCTAATAATGCTAAAGGATAGTGAAGAAAAGAAAACTTCAAATTGTAAAAAATAATGATGATAACTATTCTAATGATATTTTAAGTTCAGATGATAGAGTTAACATAGATAATGAAGTTGGATAGATTGATGAGGATAAGGCGGAATAGCTTTTTTTAGTTTGAACTAAAAATATGAAAGTATTAAAACTTTCTAAATATCCGTTAGTAAATATAAGAAACTTACAATAATAAAATACTGAAAAAAAATCAAAGCAATAGAAAATCAAAAGAAAAATAGACAAACACTCTATTAACTATTAAATAATCAAAATAATACTGGTGTTGGTTCTTCTGATAATAATTTTAGTGATGGTTTCTCTGGTGATGGTTTTTCTGATGGTGGTTTCTCTAGTAGTAGTTCTTTTGGTAGTGGTTCCTCTAGTATTGATTTTAAATCTGATAATACTATAAAAATGCATTAATTAATAGAATCAAAAATAAATTAAAATTTGAAAGTAAACACTTAACTCTGAGATATAAATTGTGACTTATAGCTGTTCAACATTTTTTACAACTCCTTAACAAAGAATATGCAAAGTTAAAAGTAAGTCAGATTATTGCAGACCTATTAAATTGAGAAATATAGTTTGCTAGTTATGTTAAAAGTTAGAATAAAGCATTTATTGAGTATGGTGATGTTCCTAATAGTAATTATGAAAAGCATCTTAGAGAAAACAGTATCATTGATGATGAGAATATTCAATTAAAAGTAGCATAATACTTACAATAACATAAATTTGATATAACCGTTTACAGTTTTCGTGATTATATTGCTAATAAAATTTTACCTTCTATTAGTATAGAAAAAAAAACTAAAATCAGGTATTTGTTTTATCATATTTATATTTATAGATTACTTTATTTAATATATATTTTACTAAAAATTCTTATACTTTATAGCAAATCTACAACAATTCAATGGTTAAAAAAAATGGGATTTATTTTTAGTTAATATACAAAAGGAATGTATATTGATGGTCATGAAAAAAATAATGTTGTTGCTTATCAAAAAGAATTTCTTGAGACTATAGTAAGGTAAATATTTTATTTTCTTATTATATTAAGTATTTTATTTATTTTATATTATAATATTTTTTATATTATAGTTATCAAAAATTAATGCTGAAATTTATTGGTGATGAGTTTGAAATTTGAATTGATCCAGATTAGAAAGTGAATAAAAATTACATATTCTTGTAACACATGATGAAACAACTTTTCAATTAAATGATAAATAAAAATCAGGTTAGAGACCTAAAAATGAACAATCATTACATAAAAAAGGTCAAAAATGCTCTATTTATGTTAGTAATTTTTTAACAAAAACTATTAGAAGATTAAAATTAAATGAAAATGATGTAGACAAAATAATCCCACATGAAGCTTGTATGACAATTAATCCTTAAAAAAATTTTGATAGATAGTGGAATATTGATTATTTGATTAATCAGGTAAAATAAATATATTATAAACTAATTTATAAAAAATTATATTTTTAATATCTTATATAAATAGGAAAGTGATTCATATTTAATAAAAATATTTTATATAATATCTATACTTTTTTTACTAAATGTTAATTATAAGAGAATGAAGAAAATATTAGTATATAATATTATAAAATTATATATAATATTAATATAAAAAATTTTTAATTAGTTTTAATAAGATATAAAAATTTTATTAGTATATAAAATTATCAGTTTATATAATATTAGTATATAAAGATTTAACTTAATGTTAGAAAATTAGATAATTTTAAACAATTTTAGACAGTTTTAAATAATTTAAATATATTATAAATATATTTTTTTATATTTAAAATAGTGTTTCACATAAATTCAGATTAGATTTATCAAATTCAAATTTGATTTAAATTTAGATTCAGATCAGATCTAATTCATTAGATTCAAATTCAGATTTAAATCTAATCTGTTAAATCTAAATTCAATTTTAATTTCTTTTAGAGCTAAAAAGGTTCTTTTCATTAAAAAGAAATAAATTTTCAGGTCTTTTTTAAAGCTAAAAATTTGTTTTCTTTTATTGAAAAAAATGAATTTTTAAAGTTAAAAAAATTTCTTTTATTAAAAAAATAAATTTTTAAATCTCTTTTAAACTAAAAGTTCTTTTAATTAAAAAGGAATAAATTTTCTAATCTCTCTTAAACTAAAAATTTATTTACTTTTATTGAAAAGAAATGAATTTTCAAATTCTTTAAAGTTGAAAAGGTTCCTTTCATTAAAAAGAAACAATTTTTCAGATTTTTTTAGAACTGTAAAAGCTCTTTTTATTAAAAAAAACTTTTTAGACTTTTTTTAGAGTCAAAAATCTGTTTTTTTTCATTAAAAAGGAATGACTTTTTGGATTTTTTTTTAGAACTAAAAATCTGTTTTCTTTTATTAAAATAGAATAATTTTTTATATTTCTTTTAGAACTAAAAAGATTCTTTTTATTAAAAAAAATAATTTTTCAGACTTCTTTAGAATCAAAAAGATTCTTTTCATTAAAAAAAAATAATTTTTCAGATTTCTTTTAGAACTGAAAAATCATTTTTTAATAAACTTTTCAAATCTGAATCAGATCAAATTTGGATTAAATTAATCTGTTAGATCTAGATTTAAGATTTAATCTGTTAAATTCAGATCAAATCTGAATTTTAGCAGATCTATCAGATTCAGATTGAATTCAGATTATAAAAAATGAAAATCAGATTGGATCTGATTTTTAAAACACTATTTAAAACTATCCAAAACTATTTGAATTGTTCAAAATTATTTAATTTCTTAATACTAGTCTAATTATAATATTAAATTAATTTATTTTATTATTAATAATAATAACTTTAGTTTTTTATTACTTTTATCAATAAATTTTTTTATCCTTTTCAATCTATTTTATAAAATTGTTTTAATCTTATTAATTCTTCTTAATTCATTAGGTAAAAAATTTTTAAATAGATCACTTTTAATAATTATATATTATTTAAATATTTCTAATAAGTTTTGTGCTAAATTTATAATAAATTAATTTAATTATTAATATTATAATTTTTTCAGTTAGGTAGTATATTTATTACATAATATTCATTTATTGTCTAAAGCATAGCAGAGGAATATTATGTATACTTAAGACCATACAATATCTATCTATCATTATGTAAAAATTCCTAATCAAATTTGTGATCAGGTATAACAATCAATATTATAATAATAATAAAAATTAGTGTTACTTTATTTTTT